TAATTGATTTATATTATATTAAAATGATTTTAAAAACATCTTATTAAAATTTTAACCTGGTTTATATAAATGATGTTTAGATGATGCTCATTATTAGATATTAGCAATTATTTGCAATCTAAATTCAATAAAAAATGTCTGTTACATCTATGGACCATGGCCCTATGGTTTTATATTGATTTATATAAATTGTTAGAATTGTATTAACTTAATAATGGAAACCGGGAGTTTGCAGATCTTATTATAATATTGATACAGTATCACTGATACTCTTAAAGTAATTGCTAGTGCACCCAAATATATTTGAGCAAATTCACTAGAATTTTAAGAGATTCTAAAATATTACAATAACAAATTAAGTCCAGTTCAGTAATTTCTTGTTTTTCTTATTTTAGTAACTGCTAAATTATTTGCAACTAAAATGTTCATAAATAACTCTCTTGGAACAATACTCCACCTAGTACAGTTAAATCATTTATTCTAATCTCATTGTCAATGAGTCATTGAGAACATTACAATCACATATACCGTAATTATTTAATTAGTTTTTATGATTTTAATAAAATAAATCTATTTAGGAATTAATTGTCAATGAATTAATTTTCTTTTTAATTCAATTAAATCAATTACTATTTAATATTTTCATTACAATTATTTTATAATGTATATTTACTAAAATGGCATATGCCAAAATATTCCAAATAAGATTTAATGAAAACCAATACTCTGTACTATATTTATAACATTATATAAATTATGATATGAACGGTTTTTTAATTCCATGTGTATAATATTAAATTTAAATTTAACATAATTAACATAAACTTATTTCTAAAATAGTGAAACTAATAAAATATGTATAAAATTAAGTGTACGGTACTTTATATGAAACAACCTAATATTACTGTATATAGCTTTGCATTTCAATGATTCACTTCTGATTTTGTTAAATAAATAGATTTGAAAACATAGTGATGTTTAAAATAATAATTGGTGTGAATGTGAGTATAATGTAAGTCGTCGTGTCGTTGGAAGTGTTGGGAGTCCTAACACATGATTGTGATTGAGGTCAGGTCATAGCCATTGACAGTCTTGGGATCTCATAAACACAATGAAGTGAATTGTTTTGAAACGGTATGAAAACTAATGGATATTTAAAAAGCCGACAAATGAGACACAACTGGGCGAATGTGTGTTATGGCAAACAATGGCTGATATAAAGTATTTTGGATTCAGTCAAGTGTCTGTCAGAGACAACATTTGATGCTCTTTTCGTTAAGTGGCTGAGGATGTGAGGGATGTCTGCGCTGCATATATGACTGTATGTGCTGTCGGAGGGCATGTAGTGTCGAGAAAAGCCCAAAGTTTAATCAGGTGATGAAACTCTCAGGACTGGCACTCAACTCAGTGCAAAGCAAGCAAACCTGGTTAAACAGAGGGCCAATTTTAAAAGCAGATTCACGAACACTCTACTCTTATACAGTGCACACAATGCAAACACACAAAGTCTTACATTTCATACCAAACTCTAAATTTTAGTACATTTTTCCAAATCACTAAAGCATTAATCGGTCTTTAGATCGCTTTCTTTCATTTTTTAGAAAAATATTTACTTTTCGGTCAGAGAATAGGTTTTGTGAGAACATCACAAATACAATCAACTATACGTTCAATAAGTTTCACTAAATTAGTTGATTAATTGTTTGCAAAATTCCTTACATTTCACTCGTCTTTGCTTTTATAAGTGTATATAAACTTATACTTATCACTCATTTTACACCAAACAATGTTTGCAATGATTATGTCTCTTATATTGTCTCACAGTGTATCACTGTCTCACTAATAAATCATTTAATTTACAATGTATTTAAACAAATTTAAAATACAAACTAACTTATTTATATTACCTGCAAGTTATTAGCATTTTAATATAAAAAGCTTTAGCATCATAAATCTGGAGTACAAACAACATTCTTAAACTATTAATTCATAATCAAATATTTATTGTAGTGATAGTCAATACAATTACACTACAATTATTTGCATTACAAACAACTTTTGAATTGTAATTTTCAATTAAATATACAAAATAAATAAATAATGCAAGTTGGTCTTTTTTGTACAAATTCTCAATTCTTTTCACTATTTTATAGAATAAGTTACAATAAATAAGAGCCATAAGTGACATCTATTGTCAACAAAACAAAATTATTGCATTTTTATTCTTATAAATTTTATCTAATATACAGTATCATAATATTATATGATTCATACCTCATTTCATTTACTGACTACCGTATATAAAAATAGTTATATCAATCATAATTATAATGTAAATACAAACTTAAAAATCAAACCACTTTTTAATTTAAAATTACATCAACTTTTTGTATTATATTCTATGAATTCATAGTTCTTAATTTTATGGAAACTACAAAATTAAACATTTCATTATCATTATCATTAAATAATTTATTATAACTATATAAATTATGTTTAAACACTTATTTTATTATAAATTTTATTTCAATAATAACTATATTATATTAAATATTAATAATTAATTTTATAAAATAAATATTGATTGATTTTATTTTATAAACTAAATCTCTAATTGCTTAAATAAAGATAGTTGTCCTAAATATGATTAAATTAATTTTGTTATAACAAATAACTCTACGATTTTAATAGGTTTTTAATATTTATTTATAGTTTTATGTTATTTCAAATTATTTTTAACATTTTCAAATTAATATATTAGTTACAAGTTATCGTAGATGCAATATAAATTACCGGTAGATATGACAATTAGATATTAGATATTAATATATAAATTAGAATTAAATATTAAATTAGATATTGACAATCTTATATTTATATCATACTTATATTTTAAATTAAATAGAATAAATTATTTTTAAAAAATCGATTGTATATTTAATTAAAAATTTTGTATATGTGTGTATAATGTGTAATTGAACATTGTTATACTTTAAGTTGTCAAGTGAAACTAATTTTCTGATTTTGAAATTCATAGACTGAATAATCTCCCTTAAAATTAGTTAAGAATTTTCTCATAATAATTTGTAAAATTATTAAGATTTTTAAACAACAATATTTTCAATCAAGTTTATTTAAATTACAGAGAATCATGATATAATATAAACAAATTAATTCCATAGATACATTAAGAGTCTAGCAGTCTAGACTAACGTTATAGCTTGTTTGTGTATATTTTTTATTTTTAAAGGTTTCAGTTTATACTGTAGGTTAGAAATTATGTTAAACTTTTGTTTAAAAATTTAGTAAACTCATTTTAATTAAATTCATTTTAGTCGGTAAGCTTTAAATAAAAATAAGCAATATAAATGAAATTGGAAATCTCACAATTTTTAAATTGGAATTAATTAATAGATAAATAATACTAAAATAGAAATATTTGATAACAAAATCATTTATTGACATTAAATGACCTCTTCATGAGTGATGAACTGAAATATTTAGGAATATTTTAGTGATTAATAAGACTATAAGCCGATAGTTGACTATTGAACCATAAGTTTCCTTTAAATTATATCCACAAAATGATTATTAAAACCAATGAGATAAAGCTAAACCAAAGATTTTTGTCACAAAATGCTGAATCTTATAACATTTAATAAATGTGTGTTTGAACATGAGCACTAACTTAAAATAATTTTTAAACAAAACCTTATCAAAAGTTTTTACTGATTTTTATTATTTTGAAGGACACGCTCTAATGTGTAAATTGTTTAAATCAGTCACTGTTTGTGAAAATGGTTGACATCTTATGGAAAATTTTTTAATAATTAATTCTTTAAATATTTATGAAAACTTGTATTCAATTTACATGGTTATTTTTTAAACACTTTAAATTTTAAAGTATAGAAAATAAGTTTAATATGATACGTTTCTATTTTTAGTAATTAATTAAATTTTAATTTAAAACTTTGGTATATTACATCATGAATCAAAAGTTTTTGGGTTTGAAATATAAAAACTTATTATTAATTAATAAGTATCAAATATTAGTAATGAAATTTGTAGAAAATTATTTTTTATATATTGCATAAAATTAAATATTATTGTTACATTAGTGAATATAAGCTGATACAGTATGTACAGTAAGTGCAATATATGATTGCACAATGAATTAAAATTTATTAAAAGTTAGTGTTAATTACAATCACGAGTATTGATATTATATAATGACAGGTCGTTTACATCAGTTTATAAACTTTTTCATATATTTATACAATTATATTATCGAAAACTTAGCCTAGAAAACTATAAAATCTAGTAAACTATATTTTAAATTTATATCCCCGTAAAATAAATAACATATACAATATAACTTACTAACTTAGTATTTTAAAATATAAATCTTGATAAAGATTAATATACAATATTATATTTAAAATAAAATGAATAAAAATTTATTATTTGAATTTAAAACCATATATAGGAACATAATGAGTTGAAATTTTTACATACCCTAAATACAAAATGTGCAACCAATTTTAAATATGCTAATGTGCTTATTAAATATGCAATAATGTATTATAAATGATTGATAAAAACTTTGTAGACTCTAACTATCCTGTATAAAATTCAAATCACCAATTTAATATGATTAAAGATATCAATGTTGTTTTTAGTTAAATAATATTAAGGCACAATCTTAATCAGTTGAATCAAATGAATGAAATCCTAGTTTAAAAAATAACGGAATTTTCCCAAAATCTCCAAATTTTCCAAATTCTGGTTCAATATATTCCTAAACCACTGCATATTCACAGCAAACGTACTAAATGTTCATAAAATGCATTATGAAATGCTCTAGGTTTAAATTGTGATTGAATATCACATAAGCCTAACATTGGACTCTCCCAATGCTCCTCAAATGCAGGAATCATTGATGGTATCGCTCGCATCCCTATCCCTGTCGTCCCTCAACAGTAGAGTACATACAGTGCTGTGCATTGAATGCTGTTATGACTCGCGATTTGCGATTAGATTCTGTTACTGAGGCCTAACTCTATGGCTTATATCACGGAGTCTGCGATTACAGTGTAGAAGCACTTGAGAGCCAATTATATATAGCTATACCTCTACCTCTCAATCAGCTTCACATTTAAGTCCAATTCCTACTGTCAGTCGTGAACACCATTCAAATCATTCACAACAACATTGAATTGAATTGAAAGTCACTTCAAAAACAAATCTCTCTTCACATCGAAAATGTCTGTCAAAACGGATGCCGACCGCAGGAAACAGATATCTGTGCGCGGAATCGCCGACGGTATGTCCTCCCCGGCCACTACCCCTTCAATATTCCTGATATTCCTATAATGCTATTGAATGGTATTCATAATTTGCATGATTTATGGTTCAGTTGGGAATGTGACTGAAATGAAGAAGTCTTTCAACCGTCACCTCCACTACAGTCTCGTAAAGGACAGGAATGTGTCGACGGCTCGCGACTACTACTACGCTCTCGCCCTCACAGTCCGCGACCATCTCGTCTCCCGTTGGATCAGAACTCAGCAAAACTACTACGAAAAGGACCCAAAAGTAAGCCCACAATAGCACTATTGAAAGTCTAATATCTGTAGTCTATTTTTAATACCTAGTTCAATTCATTTTATTTCAATTCGTTTAAATTCATTTAATAATTTTTTTAAATAAAATAACTTTTGCGTACAAACACATTTATGTGTGTTATATGAGAGCAATGAATTGAATGCATGGCTAACCTGTTATAAGCAGTGGTGACCTTAGCCTTGATAGCACTCATTGGGAGATAAAGTAAATGTCAGAAAATCTCAATCACTTGTAATACATGTGATTAACATTAGTTTGTATTGAATGGAATTAATGACAAATGAAATGCTATAACAAAATGAAATTTTTTATGAAAAACAGCGCGTTTACTACCTGTCCCTGGAATGGTATGTCGGAAGACAGCTGACAAATACCATGATTAACATCGACGTACAGACAGCTTGTGATGAAGCACTGTATCAGTTGGGACTCGACATCGAAGAGTTGGAAGAGTTAGAAGAAGACGCGGGACTCGGAAATGGAGGTTTAGGTCGTTTGGCCGCCTGTTTCCTCGACTCGATGGCCACTCTGGGAATCGCTGGCTATGGATATGGTCTTCGCTATGAATACGGAATATTCACTCAGAAGATAGAGAACTGCGAACAAGTGGAACAACCGGACGATTGGTTGCGCTTTGGTAACCCCTGGGAAAAGGCCAGACCTGAATACCTGATTCCCGTCAACTTATACGGTAGAGTTGAGAAGACAGACACCGGCTCCAAATGGGTGGACGCCCTCACTATCTATGCAATGCCTTACGACAGTCCAGTTCCCGGTTTCCGCAATAATGTGGTCAATACGATGCGATTATGGACCGCAAAGTCTCCGACGAGTTTTAATTTGAAATTCTTTAATAACGGCGACTATATTCAGGCCGTTCTCGACAGGAATGCCGCTGAAAATATTACTCGAGTTCTGTATCCAAACGATAATGTATTTGAAGGCAAAGAGTTACGTCTAAAACAAGAGTACTTCTTATGCGCGGCTACTCTTCAAGACATTATCAGGCGTTACAAGTCATCGAAATTTGGTTCCCGAGAACACGTCAGGAATTCTTACGACGCTTTCCCTGAAAAGGGTTTGTTTGGACGGACAGTGCGCTTATGAGTTGACACTAATTTTACTGATTTCTTAGTTGCCATACAATTGAATGACACCCACCCGGCTCTGGCTATACCTGAGCTCATGAGGATTCTGATGGACACCGAAGGTGTCACTTGGGACAAGGCGTGGGAAATCACTATAAAGACATTTGCTTACACTAACCATACGGTGCTTCCCGAAGCGAACGAGCGCTGGCCCTGCAGTCTACTTGAATATGTACTGCCAAGACATATGCAAATCATTTATGAGATCAATCAAAGACATTTGGATGCAATCAGTAAATTATATCCCAATAATATGGATAAACTGAAGGCTTTATCTCTGATCGAAGAGGAGCCCGAAAAGAAGGTGAATATGGCACACCTGGCCATTGTGGGCTCGCACTCCATCAACGGTAATATAATTGCTATGCGTATATATATTTGGATACTAACTAATGAGTTGGTGCGGAACAGGTGTCGCAGCCATCCATTCAGATATTATAAAGAGGGAGACATTCAAAGACTTCTACGAACTCTCGCCCGAAAAGTTTCAAAACAAGACGAATGGAGTGACGCCCCGGCGCTGGCTGTATATGTGTAATCCTAATCTGTCGGATCTAATCAGTAGTAAAATTGGAGAGGAATGGATGGTTCATTTGGATCAGCTCCAGAAGTTGAAGCCATTGGTGAATGACCCCACGTTCGTGAGGGCCGTTCAGACTGT